ATTAAATGCAGAAGATTCAGCATTCATGATACAGTTTTATAATTGCACATAATTGCACTATTCATCTTGGTAGAATTTTTAATAAGCTGTACGTAAACAAGTATATTTAAAAATTGTGATGGAAATCTTTTCATGTTGCTCCAACATCTAGGAATCGTAATTACATGGATAGATTTCATGTTTGGGTAAGCAGAAATTAGGCCACTACCCATTATTCAGATGATTTTCATCAATTAATTTCTGAGGTGTACAGTAATTCTTTACACATGTTTAAAGTCTTTTTTAAATAAGTTGGGGAAGTACTGGGCAGGGCTTTTGTGCATTTCTTGCTCTTTCACATCGTAAAATTTAGTGCATAATTGAATTTAAAGAAAAATACCTGAAGTATTATCCCTGCGGGCAGTGGCAGCAGGAGAGAGTGTATGTCTGGGATTGGCATTTGGGCTGCAGTTGATGTTAGCAACTGCATTACAAACACAATCTGCATTTGGGGCGGTGCTGCTACTTTCCTAATTGGTTCCTTCAGCAATTCTCTCTGTTGCTCTTATGATCTTTCTGACTTTGTACTCTGTTTTATCTGGATCCTAACTTCTATCACAAAGAAATAACAAAAAGAAAACAGGAGGCTGAAATACTGGAGCTTTCTGGAATTTGTGTATGAAAACTGGGGAGGACCCCTCCATGATTTGTCGAGAAGACTACAGATCATATATGTTTGAGATTATGACTTGGTTCTAAGGGCTTTCGGGAATATGACTGAAGAATTGAGAATCTTCAGATAAAATGGACAGTAGAAGGATTCCTGAGTAAAACGTTGGAATACGTGTAAATCTTGCTCAACATTTGTCCCTGCTTTTGTTATCTTGTGAGATGAAATTGTATAGAACCTAAAAACCATTGTCATACTTTTTGAGGCAGTGAATATCTTTTAATTAAGAGTGGATGTGCAGCACAGCTTTTGATATCTAAGGAGTTGGCAATCTAACCCACCCATCTTACTCTTAATACACGTCCACCCACATGCATTTGCTATTACCTCTCACGAAAGGCTTTGTTTCCAGCTTGGAGTTAGGTATGCAAATGCTAACATTTGTGAGAATTGGTCCAGATTTTTTAAATCTCTGGATTTAAAATTAGGGAGATTAATAGAGGAGAAGATACTATCCTTTATGCATTGTGTTCTTTGTAAGTAATGACAGAAAACTACCAAGCAAATAGATGTTCTGAGCTTCTAACAGATTGCCTCTCCTCAGTCTTCGGTATTTTTATATTACTGAGCTTTCCTTTAATAGAAATGCTATTCAAAATTTCAAAAGAATGCATAGCATAAAACCTTTGTAGCTTTGTATTTGTGAACTGACTCAGGATAGATAGTAACGGGAACACTCACAAAGATTTGCCTCAGTCACGATGGCACAGAAAGACTTGCTGAGGATTTGTGTGCATCTGATAGCTTTAGTAATTTTTTTGTTTTACGTTCTTAAGAGAAATGAATCAAAACATTTAAAAAACGTATATACAAATGTAAAGTTTCAAAAATCGATAAAATAAAGTACTTCAATTTCCACATGATACTGTTTGATGTGGACCCTTTGGAAAATGATCAGCCCTTCTCAGATTTCCCCAAGTGTGGCAGTTAGTGACATTAAAAAATATGTGATCATAAGACAGTTGCACAATGTGCACCTCAATTTTAGAATTATTTTGTGCCTCCAGCATAGATATAAAACAAATTTCCATCAGTGTGAGCAACTTATTAATTTGTAAGTTAACTTTTAAAAGGTGAACGTAGAGGTGGCTTTTTTTTTTGTCAGATTGATGTTTCTTGTGTGGGTATTTATGGGAGACTTTCTGAAAAATTTGGAGAACAAGAATTGTGGTTGTAAGCCCAATCATGACCTCTTTATCTGCACCGATATAGAGCTTTGTTAGTCATATTTTTTCTTCATTTTTGCTTTTCATATACTCATTATACTTCATTTTCAGACTACCTCTACTAATAGCTATGAGAGTGGTCAGGGCATGGATGCATTGTTCTTATTTTTCATGTTAGAACTAGTAGACACTATCTGATGCGTAGGATGTAAGAAGAGTAGAGAATATTTGCCATTGGAACTCTCAAAATCTGTGAGGCAAGTTGCCATGGTTCCAAGGAGGGTGACAGCTTGAATGTAGTAGACAAACAACTAATGTTTTAAGTACAAAAATTGTGTGACAAATGGTTTTCCTTTTTTCAACATGAGCTCTTTGAGTTTAAAAATATTAGATATTAACATTATACTTATTTTTTCCCCTTACCCCTTTGCCAAGGCCTGGCCTATAACTTTGCTTCTTAAACCTCCCCACCAGCAGACAGGGGAGAGTGAATGCGTGTACCCAGGTGTCTAGGGCACAGCCCAAAGCATTCCATCCACTTTGGGCATATTCTTTTAGTCTCATGTTTCATCTGAAACCTCATTAACATTTTACCTTCTATGCATTGTTTTTGTTTAAATATATAATGACTACATTTATTAGACATTAAATTACTTAAATTTCCCCCAAAATATTTAAGTACATTTGATACTCCTGGGTGATTGCTGTGTTTATCTTGTGGCTTTGAGAACCATCCTCCTCCTCTTGGTTGAGTATGATCTGCTTGAAGGAAAGGACTGCTTCTTGTACCTTTCCATATTCCCAATGTCAAGTGTAGTGCTTGCCATAGAGTAGATGTATTTGTGTGCTTGTGTTGGATACATATCTGTGTGCCCCTTTAGAGTATGTGTATGATGCTCAGTAAACATTTCATAGATAAATGAATGAGAGCCTGTTTACATTAGGAACATGTGTTCATTATTGTAGAAAAGCCTCAGTGTGGAAAAAATAGGTACATATTTTTGGTTCTTAACCTTTGTCATTTTTTTTAGATGTCTGACCATATGTATATAAGAGCAATGCCTTTTTTGTACACAATATTCCTTGTATTCATTGTTAAATAGTTTTCTGACCTGAAATTGTCTATGGTTGGGATATCTAGACATTCTTTGTCTTTAAATTTGATAAATATTCTTATTTCATGATGAATGTACTTATTTTAGGTCTGATTCTGTAATTTGTTTTTGGGTTTTTTTTGGCACATAAGCTCATAGTGGCTGGTTGTCTCTTGTATATTGTGATTTTCAATTTTGTGAATCCATGTTCCCTTGAATTCCATCTGCGGGATTTCTCTAGGGCCTGGTTTTAAAGTGCCTTATTCCAGAGTGGATTAAGGTTTGCTTCTACCAGGTGCCTGGGATGATTTTATTATTTATTTACTTATGTTACTTTATTTTGATATATTTAGGGATACAAGTGGTTTTTGGTTATATGGATGAATTGTATAGTGGTGATGTCTTGGGTTTTTAGTGTACTCATCACCCAAATAGTATACATTGTACCCAATAGGTAGTTTTTCTTCCCTCACCCTCCTCCAAACCTCCCCACTTCTGAGTCTTCAATGTCTATTGTACCATTCTGAATGCCCCGGAATATCTGCAGCTTAGCTCCCACTTATAAGTGAGAAAATGTGGCATTTGGTTTTCCATTCCTGCATTATTTCACTTAGTATAATGGCCACTAGTTCCACCCAAGCTACTGCAAAAGATATTATTTCATTCTTTTTTATGGCTGAGTAGTATTCTATTTTATATATATATATATATATATATATATATATATATACATATATATATATATATATATATATCACATTTTCTTTGGGCACTTATGTTGCTTCTGTATCCTTGCAATTGTGAATTGTGCTGTCATGAACATATGAGTGCAGGTGTCTTTTTGATATAATGATTGCTTTTCCTTTGGATAGATCTCCAGTAACGGGATTGCTGGATTGAATGGTGGATCTACTTTTAGTTCTTTGAGGACTCTCCATACTGTTTTGTATTAAGGTTGTACTAATTTACATTCCCACCAACAATGTGTAAGCATTCCTGGGATGATTTTAAATTGCATTTTGGTTTTTCTGAGCCACATACATGGTGTGAATTCTGGCCCTTATACCATGTAGGTTCCCGTACCTGGTTGGAATTTGCCATTTTCTTCTCTCCTCTTCCCTAACTCACACAGACCCAAACCCCATCAGGCAGGCTAGCTTCTCTCTTGTTTCCCCTATTTTTTCTCTTTATACCTCTAAAGATGTTAGTATACGTGGAGAGTTTCAAATCCACAAGGATGTCTTTGACCTAATCTCCACCTACATTGTCCCTAGCTTTTTCTCTTAGCTCCATGTACCTGGGCATCTGGCCCCATCCTACTGGCTAAAACTATTAGTAACATCACACCTCATCAGGAATGGCAGATGGCCCTAGGGCAAACATGCAGCAGGGACAGTGAGGGATCGCTGATCTGTTTAGTACTTGTTTTCTCTTTGATATTGGCCTCCAGAGGATTTCCCTTTCTTGTTTTCCATAAGTGTATGCCTTTGAAAAGAATGTTAAATTACTTTATTTTGCACTTAGGAGAAATTAGAGGAGCTCTCTAACCATCTAATCTACCAGAAACAATAGGCTGTAAAGTGCTTGCTGTGTGTAAGGCACACTGCTGACCCGGACTCTGGAAAACATGGCCATCCTCATCAGTAACGAAATGGGATATTCTCCATGACACATATTCCTTATCTGGATCTGCTAGTGGAAAGCATGTTTATGGTGATTGAAATTTTTAGGGTCTCTGGGTTCTTATCTGTAATAAAATGGTATTGGAATAGCTGGTCTTTATGGGTCCTTCCATTTCTAAAATTTCTTCACTCCAATGACCCCCCCTGGACAGCTGAACAGCTACAATTTGTTTTCTATTTTTATGCTTACAATGATTCAGCTGAAGTCCTGAACCCAGTTACCCATGCCTCATTCTCTGTCTCTCTCTGTCTCTGTCTCTGTCTCTGTCTCTCTTCTTACTGTTTTAGCAGTCTTGGTTTGATCTTTCAGAGAACGCCCAGAATAAGCGTATTCTGTGTTCCCCCGCAGGTCGCTTCTCTCGGAGTCACTACCTTCACCTTGTGCGCTCTGTGCATAGACCGCTTCCGCGCCGCCACCAACGTACAGATGTACTACGAAATGATCGAAAACTGCTCCTCCACAACCGCCAAACTTGCTGTGATATGGGTTGGAGCTCTGCTGCTGGCACTTCCAGAAGTTGTTCTCCGCCAGCTGAGCAAGGAGGACTTGGGGTTTAGCGGCCGAGCTCCTGCGGAAAGGTGCATTATAAAGATCTCTCCTGACTTACCGGACACCATTTACGTTTTAGCTCTCACCTACGACAGTGCGAGACTCTGGTGGTATTTCGGCTGTTACTTCTGTTTGCCCACACTTTTCACCATCACCTGCTCTTTAGTGACCGCGAGGAAAATCCGCAAAGTAGAGAAAGCCTGCACCCGAGGGAATAAGCGGCAAATTCAGCTAGAAAGCCAGATGAACTGTACAGTAGTGGCACTGACCATTTTATATGGCTTTTGCATTATTCCTGAAAACATCTGCAATATTGTCACTGCCTACATGGCTACAGGGGTTTCACAGCAGACAATGGACCTCCTTAATATCATCAGCCAGTTCCTTTTGTTCTTTAAGTCCTGTGTCACCCCAGTCCTCCTTTTCTGTCTCTGCAAACCCTTCAGCCGGGCCTTTATGGAGTGCTGCTGCTGTTGCTGTGAGGAATGCATTCAGAAGTCTTCCACAGTGACCAGTGATGACAACGACAACGAATACACCACGGAACTGGAACTCTCGCCTTTTAGTACCATACGCCGTGAAATGTCCACTTTTGCTTCTGTTGGAACTCACTGCTGAAGGACAGTGCCTGCTTTGGTCAGATTTGTTTATTTGTTTGATTTTCATATCCTGTGAAAGTTTTTACTTCATATTTTTCCTTACAAGGAGAAAAATGCAAAACAAGAAAGAAAGAAAGAAAGAAAGAGAGAAAGAAAGAGAGAGAGAGAAAGGAAGGAAGGAAGGAAGGAAGGAAGGAAGGAAGGAAGGGAAGGAAGGAAGGAAGGAAGGAAGGAAGGAAGGAAGGAAGGAAGGAAGGAAGGAAGGAGAAAGAAAGAAAAGAAAGAAAGAAATATTAACTACCATAGAAGTGATTTTACAAATTAATATTTGTGCTTTTGAAAAAAATGTTTATATTTAGTTATTTAAGAAGAACAAGGAGGCCAATAGTTTTGGGTAATTTTATCTGGTATGGTGCTAACATTTTATCTGAAAAAGTTATTGCACCTTAACTTAATTAATTGCTAATTTTTTCTTTATTTTAAAAATATAACTGTTGTGTATTGATTATAGCCATGTGATTTTGTAGGTTATTTTATGTTTGAGTTGTGACTGAAAGTACATTGTATAATATATGGTATCATGAGATGATTTGTACTTAGAAGCATTCACAAAGTAGCACCAAATAAATTACATTTTATTCTTTAATATAATTGTCAATCTACTTTTAACCAATATTCAATAAATCTTTTAATTGCCTTAAAGACACAATTACTGGTTCTATGCACAATTTAAAACCAGCCTTACTGTTTTATATTTTCCTTTAAGGCAGGTAATCACTATGTTACAAAGAAATTATCCTAATAGTACTATTTTATATGCATGATTCATAAAACTATATTGTATGTTAAAACAAAACTGTATTTTTAATATTCAGGTATAGATGTAAAATTACTTCTGAATATTTATAAAATATGAATAAATAGCAGAGTAGGAAAAAAGCTTTTTTTTTAAATTCACCTCTGAACTAGCATGTAGAGCTACAGGTTTTCCCATGAGGAATTATCAGCAGAATCCAGAATGAAATACAATGCACTTGTTATCTGATTTCTTCTGAACACTGACCTTTGAAGGTTTATAAAATCTATGAAAAGCATTCTGAATTCTAAGTTTTCTCCTTTTGAAAAATGAACATGATTAAATCTGTACAACTTAATTTCTTTAATGGAATGAAAGTACAGTAGTGGAATAATAAAATATTTATAATCCTGATTAGAACACTTGAATATTCAAATACTACCTTTAAATGATACTTCATAAAATCCCAATAAAAAACTAATCCCTTCCATTTGAAGTATTTGTATCCCCTCTTTTGCCTCTTAAGGATTTCAAGTTGCAGCAATTGTATAGGATGCTCATTGTGTGGCATATGTGTCTAACTCAATGGCAGAAACAGTGACACAGTGACACAGTGATATTTAAAAGCTACCAAAGATGCGTGGTTGAATGTCTTTGTTGTCAGAAAAATTATATTATAAGGGAACCCAATTGGGTTCCCTTATAATGGCAGGGAAAATGTGTTTTCTACTTGTTGATTTCTGTAGTATTCAGCATAAGTGAGTTGGATTTTCTTTCTTTCAGATTATAATATGATGTTATTTGAAATCATTAAACTTTAGAGGTAAAAAAAAAAAAAATTAAAGAGACTTGACCCAGACCATTCATCTTCCAGATAAAACTAAGATTAACTAAATGAAAATACCCAGGCTATCTCTTTTCCCAGTCCAGTACTCTTCAAAGAGATTTCTCCCCAACTGTCTGCATTCTAAGGGATTTGAAGAAGAATTAAAAACAAGGTGCCACTGTCTTCTTACAGATCCCTGTTATGGGTCTTTGGGAAACTTCTCAAGAGGACACCTGAGCTAGGTTTTGGCTGCCAAACAGATCGACAATTGTGATTCCTCAGTGTCTTTCATGTTATTTAGTCAACTTTATAAATCAAGAAACATTGTTTGGGCACCTTATGTAGAAAAGGTTCTATGCTATTACCTGCTGTTAATAAAGGTAAATAGAGCATAGTCTCAGACCTTCCAAAAACTAGGCAGTCGTGGCATGGAGAGAAAGGAATAATCCAAATATAAAACAACTCTGATATAAGCTGGGACCTGTTAGGTGCCGTGGGAATATCTAAGTTCTGTGGTAGTTCAGAGGAGAGAGAAAAAACGTCTGATTGAAGGAGAGCATGAAAGCCCTTATGAGAAAACTGGATAGGTGAGTTTTGAGGAGTTGATGAAAGCTTGTGTGAGGAGTGGACAATCCAGTGGGAGATAGCTAATTTAACAAAAGAATAGAGGGCAAAATCATTGCATGTGATTACAGAATAATAGAATAATACAGTTTGGCTCCTGTGCCATGTGTGCATAGAAGTCTCGTGGAAGACAGTAATGAAAATATGCATTAAGGGCAAAGGGCTGTTTTAAAATAAGTTTAGATGGAGCCCTTCAGGAAACAGGGCTTTGTTTTTATGGTTTTTGAGTACTGGAGAAACATCATCACAACTCTGCAATAGGAATATCGATTTGGAAACAGTTTAAATAGGCTGATAGGGGAGATTCTGAACATGAAAAACCACTTAGGAAGCTATTGTAAGGGATTGAACCACAGTGGAGGCTGTGGAAACTTAAATTTCTTTTCTTTTCTTTTTTTTTTTTTTGCTTATGCTTGCCTTTCAACTTCCAGTAGTTGAAACATGTTTCTTATTGAATACTACCTCTGTCAAAGTAAAAGCTTTGGTAACTTAAAATAAATTGCCCCAAGTATAAAATGATTTGGAAGTTTTCTCATAGTCTTATGCTTTCCACAAAAAGCAATTTTTATAACATACTTTAAAAAAATTATTAACCCTTTTTCTTCAACTTCTCTCTAGTCTAGATCCTACCCAATATCTTCCTTTCCTCATTTTCAAAACGAAACATCTATGAGTAAATGCGGTAAAATTTTAATTAATCAGAAAACTCTAGGAATGGCATTTGGGTTACTTAACCAAAATACTTTTGTGGTTTCAGAATAGTCAATGAAAGTCTTTTCAAAATTTATCTATCTACATCTACAACTGGATAGTATAATGAACTCGATTTGACATTTCTTTGATGATTCACAATTTTAAAGCCTTCAAATTTATGACTTCAAGCATCAACTCATTTACATTCAACTCAGTGAATATTTATGAAACTTCTTTGTGCCTAGTGCTAGGCTAGGCAGTTAGAACACATAATTAACTTTTCTTAACCTTAAGATTCCTGCCATTAAGTAGTTTATTCTTTGAAAGTAAGACATACATGTAATCAAATAAAATTTACTGTGATGAATGCAGTGTGCATAAAGCATGGCAGTAGCAAAGATAAAGAGATGATGGGAAGGTGAAGGTGAAGTGACTCCCTCTGAGGGGTCAGCGGTTAGGAGGGAAGGAGGTAGGAATGAAGGCTTTACAGCTGAAAATGATCAAATGCTTATTGTTCTGTTTTATAAATGTAAGCCATTTACTGGATTGAGCTGAATTTTTATTCTAAGGAAATGCTGATATTTAGTTTCTAAAGTATATTCCTAATAATTCTTTTTTGTCATCATTTGCTTAAGTCTCATAAAAGTAGAATTAGAATAAAAGGTCCCATTTCTTTAATAATTATGGTGAAATTGATTTTATTGTGTTATAAAAAGTATACACATGACATTGAGTGCAGAACATGGGCTAAGTAACAGCTCTTTCATTATTTCTCAGCTCATTGATTCAACAAATATTTAGTGAGTACTATTATATGTTAAGCACCATGGTAGGTGCATGTGACGTAGCTATGAACAAATCATCAAGAGGCCTGCCCACTCTTGTTGAGAGAGACACTATTTAAAATAAATAAATAAGGAGAATACATAATATATATATTTTTAGAATACATGGTGTTTTTGATTGCAAAAAGTAACATGGAAGAAAGAGTGTAAGAGTAAGGTGGGGGTTATGAAAAAGAGTCTATTGCACAGGTGACACTGGAATAAGACCTGAAACAAGCAAGCATGTCACATAGCCATCTAGGGGAAGAGCAGAAGGAACAGGCAGTGCAAAGGTCCAGAGGCAGGCACATGACTGATAGATTTCAAGAATGTAAAGTGGCCAGCATACCTTTTTCTCACCATTTGAAGAAAAGTTACAGACATCATTGATGCTTCATCAATAAACACTTCAACATATTTTCTGTTAAGAACAAGAATGTTTTCTTACTTAAAACAATAGAATTATCAGAGCCAAGAGATTAAACATTGAAGTGGTATTATTTCCTACTATATAGTTCATTTTCAAATTTCCCAAATTGTTCTCAATAATGTACTTTATAGAAGTCTCCCTTACAAAAGAGCTTTCTCGCCTCATCCCTCCGACCTCAAGTTTAAAATTTTTTAACTTAGAGTTTTAGTTGGGGTTCTCAAAAGCAAAACCAGAGAAAAAATTTAGGTGCCAGTAATTTATTTGTTCCTTTTTCCTAACTGGTTTGAGGAATATTGGTCTGCAGTTTGTTTGTTTTCTTGTGATTCTTTGTCTGGTTTTGGTATCATAGTAATACTGGCCTCATAGAGTGGGTTGGGAAATGTTCCATTCTGGATTTGCTAAAGAAATTTTTGAAGGGCTGACATTGTTTCTTCTTAAGTATTTAGTAGACTTTATGAGTAAAGCCATCTTTATTGGGGCCTTTACTTGTGGAAAGATTTCAGATTACTGATTCAGTCTTATTAGTTTTTGTAGGTATATTCAGATTTTCAATTTCTTCTTGAATCAGTTTTAGTAATTTGATTTTTATAGGAATTTTCCCATTTCATCTAAATTATCTAATTTTTTGGAATAAAGTTATTCATAATATTCCCTTATGTGGTGGTTAATTTGGGGTTTAAACTTGGCTGGGTTGAGGAATACCTGACTCCCAAATAGCTGGTAAAGCATTATTTCTGGGTATGTCTGTGTGGGTGTTTACGGAAGTGATTAGCAATTAAATAGTACTTAGACATTATGTACCTATATCTGAAAAAAATTTCTCAAATCAATAACAAAAGATTATACTTTAAGGAACTAGAAAATGATGAACAAACTAAATCCAAAGCTAGGCTAAGCAAAGAAATAAATATTAAAGTCTCAAT